GGCACATTCGTGAACGCGACGGTGGCCGAGGCGGCGCAGACGTTCTTGGATCGCCAGCCCCGCGTTCGCGTCAAAGGGGCGATGTACCACGGCGCCTTCGACGAGTGGGTGGTGCGCGGCCGTCGCAAAGTACGACAGATTCGTAATTGGTTGGCTCTTGGGGATGGATCCCAGACAGACGAGGCGGTTCAACGTGCACCTCTTCCCGCAGAGCAGCCTGCTGAGTTCGTCGCGGCCAAGGGCGACATCTCAGGGTCACCGGTGGACTTCGAGAGGGAGGAGCTATCGCGCCTGCAGCGCGCCGACCCGGAGTTCGCCGATATCATCATTGCCCGCAGCATCTTCGTCGGTATCGAGTACGCCGCTGTGGTCTCCGCCGATCACAGGCAGGTTACCGAGAACCATATCTTCCGCAAGGTGCGTGACGCCTTGTATGGCAAGAGCCTCAAGGACAAAAGCAAGATGGCGGAGGTCGCAGTGCAGGCTATGGCGAACTACACCTACGTCGACGAGCTTCTCTTCCGCAAGGTCCTGAACCCCGTCGACAATGCCATGGTCGACCGCATGGTGATTCCTGCAGGAGGGTTGCGCGCCTTTATCTTCAACGGGCGCCGGTACAAGCTAACGCTGAGGCGCGCGCTGTTGCTGGTGTACCACGACTCCGAGAGCATGGGCGCCCACGCTAGCGTCAAGGACACGACGGCAAAGTTGCAGAAGGTGGTGTGGTGGCCTACGCTCGAGAGGGACGTCATCCACTGGGTCAGCCACTGCTCGGTCTGTCGCCTGGTGAAGCCGAGACCTGGGATCACGACCGATCAGAGGATGGAGCTGCACGACCGTCCATTTCGCGTCATATTTATCGACGCCCTCGGTCCCATCCACCCGAAGGACGGCGACAAGGAGTACATCTACAACGCCGAGTGTCCATTCACGCGGTGGGCGTGGGTGCGGCCAGCCTGCACCGGCACCGCGGAGGAGTGGGCCAAGTTTTTGGTGGAGGATGTCTTCCTGGACCTCGCAGGGTTCCCCGCCGTGCTGCGCAGCGACCGCGGCTCAGCCTTCGTGTCGCCGGTGGTCGCCGCAGTGAACCAGCTCTTGGGCATCTCGCACGTCTTCGGATCGGCGTTCCACCCAGAGAGCCAGGGCTACATCGAGGGGCGCCACAAGACGATCAACCAGGTGCTTGCGGCGTATTGCTCAGCCTACCCTTCGAAGTGGGCCACATGGGCAAAGCTCGCGCAGTGGGCTCTTCGGGCTACTCCTCGAGCCGACCGCGGAGGCTGCAGTCCCTACGAGCTGGTGTGTGGCCTGGTGCCGGAGGGGCCTGTGGACCACCTGTTTCGCAAGCTCGACGGCACCAAGACGATCGACCCCTCCAGCTACGTCGCCGGCCTGGTGGAGAACCTGGAGAGCATCTACGAGAAGGTCGCCGAGGAGGTCCGCGCCGAGTACGCCAGCAGGTTGGCTCGTGCTGAGCGTGCTGGGTAGGAGGGCTACATCTTCCAGCCTGGGGACAAGGTCTTCCTGACGCGCGTGCCGGCGGCGGTCAAGCCTGCCGGCGAAGGAGCGGTCAGTCGCCGTTGGCTCCCGCGTGCGGATCCCACCGTGCACGAGATCAAGAAGATGGTCTCGCCGCAGACAGCCATCCTGTGCAAGCCGGACACGCGTGAGACGCAGTTGGGTTTCTCACAGCCTGTGTCTACAGCGCGACTGGCTCCTTTCGACCTGATGGACCTGGAGCAGCTTGTGGACTCTGACAGAGAGTTGTGCATCGAGCTGTTCACTGCCAGTGAACAGCTCGATGCACAACAGAATGTGCCAACCTGTGCCAACAGAATGTAGTAGACCGAGCAGCTCAATTCACTGGTGGGCAGAGGAAGCCTGCCAGGGTCGTAGCTCAGTCAGCTACTGGAGCAGTTCGCCTGGTCTTCTCGGACGGCCACGAGAAGATCACGTTTCTCGACTCGGAGGAGTACCGCTGGGTCTCCCCGGCGTAGTTGCATATTTTCCGTATCAGTGCCGTTTGACTCGGCAATCTTCCATATTTGTGCTGTCGGACTCTGCATTCCACTTCAGCAGGCGTGCCGTTGGCTCGGTGCGCGCAGGCATGCAGAGCTAGGGGGATGTTGGTTTGGATTAGAGCCTATAGTAATGTGTTGCTATCCTCTCCTTCGCCTCCCTCGCCTCAGAGCCGCGTACTTTACCTTGAACTCGTTTGCAAGCATTTTCCATAATGAGCCAGGTTGTGCATTTCTCGAGTTTCATTGTAGGTGGGTGTTTCGGGCAGTCTAGTGAGCCATCGGGGCCCATAATCCAGCGGGACAGGTCCCACAGTTTAGGTCTGTCCTAGTCTGAGCCCTGTAGGTCCACTACAGCCCGCTGACAGACCATTTGAGCACTTGTGCACAAATGGTTCTTTGCCCTCTGAATGTGCATTGTAGGGTATCATAGCCGTGCCAGAAGCCAGCGTGAAAGAAATTTGCAGAGTACACATCGTTTTCTGCTTTTGTCTCAGCCCCGTAGGTGCACTGCAGCCCGAGAACAGACTGCTCTACTGACCCGACGAACCATAGCAACACAGGTGTTGCTACGGTTCGCGCCCCTTGAATAGTACAGTTCGGGGTGCCGAAGCCTGCCAGGAGCGACTCTGTAGCATAGCAGAACGTGTGTGCAGGCAGTGCGGGGGCAGTATCACAGCAGAGTGGCACCGCAACCGCTTTGGCTCAAGCGCGACAGGAAAAGGATTCTTCATCATCCATCCGCCATTCCACAGCCCTCCCCAGATCACATCCCTAATGATCTCCGTCCAATTGCTGTGCCGAGCAGCTCCAATCTCATCTGCGGCTCGAGCTACATCAAAAAGTACAAATTAGTGGAGTACGAATAGTTTTTTTGGTTCCAACTCTGGAAGCAGACCGAGTTCGGACATCTAGATACTTGAGACTAACACGTTTTTTTTTTTTTTTTTTTTTTTTTTTTTTTTTTTTTTTTTTTTTTTTTTTTTTTTTTTTTTTTTTTTTTTTTTTTTTTTTTTTTTTTGTTTTTTCCTCTTCTTCTTCTTCCAATGCTGTGCCAACCAGCTCTGTAGCTCATCTGGAGCTCGAGTTATCTCAACAAAGTCATCATCATCTCTTAAACATCTAGCAGGACACGAATATTTTTTTCGGACCCAGCTCTGATAGCAGACCGAGTTCGGGCATCTAGATACTTGATACTGGCGCTTCTGATGATTTCCTTTGGATTGGTGTGTCAAACAGCTATGTAGCTCATCTGCAGCTCGAGTTACATCAAGAAACTTATCATCATCTCTCAAAAATTAGCAGAGTATGAATCGTTTTTCGGACCCAGCTCTGCTAACATACCGAGTTCGGGTGTCTAGATACTTGAGACTCGCCCTTCTGATGATTATCTTCCGATGGCTGTGCCGAACAGCTCTGTGGCTCATCTACAGCTCGAGTTACATCAAGAAACTCAGCATCATCTTTAAAACATAGCAGAGTACGAATAGTTTTTCGGACCCAGCTCTGGTAGCAGACTGAGTTCGGGCATCTAGAATCTAGATACTTGAGACTAGCTTGCCTGATGATACTAGATGGATTAGGTGTGTCTGCTAGCTCTGTAGCTCATGTGCAGCTCGAGTTAAGTTAAGAAAACCGACAACACCTGCCATGATGGCATTGAACAGCCGATCCCGCCTGAGTGCTTATTGACAGTAGTATGTACCCGATCGACCTGAAATTAAGATGGCGAGCGGGAATAAGATCGAATATGGGGGGAACAAATATTAGAGCTGTAGTGAATGTTCAGATTTCGAAAAATGATTTTAGATAGGTCAAACAACAAAACTTCCGTCGAGATTTTTTTGGCCAACTAGCCCCCCGGTGCGCCAGAATTACTCTCTAGCTTCGCCGCTACGCTCTTAGGGAAACTCTACGAGTCATGCTGTTCGGTTGAATTTTGTGCCCTTGCGGCTCGGTCGCAAATCATGGGGCTTTTGCGTACCCTCGTGGTTCCGTCTTGTGAGCAACTGCGCCTGCGTCGACTGGCGTCTTGTAGTCGATGAGGTAGCCCCGCCTTAGCGTCGATTGGCGTCGATCCATGGTTTAGCATCGACCTGGTGTCGGCTAGTGTCGGTTAGCGTCGACTAGCGTGGATTAGCGTTGGTTCGCCTCGCCAACACAATGGTAACAAGATGGTAAATGGAGGCCCCCATGAGTTGCCCAACGGGCAACCATAAAAATTTCACGGGACAAATCGTGATTGCATATTTCCCTGGTTGTTCTCCAGGCCGTGGGCTCATGTCGGCTGTTCCGCGCGAGATTTGGGAGTGTTCGGTTGGGTCGCGGACCGCGTGGAGCGCGATGGTTTCCGAGGTCTCCCGGGCAATTTGACGGGGTTTGTATGGTTTTCGAACGATATCATGGCGGTATTGGGTGAAATGTTTGTGTTTCGATGGTTTTAGGATGTGTGTTTTTATGTCGTTCTATTGCAGAGGAAAGTTTCGGACCCGCTCCATTTTGAGAACTCTCTTTTTCAGTCTCTCTTCATCGGGCATATTTTTGGACCCGGACGGAGTCACCGGGCCGTTTTGTGTTGTTTTGTGGTTCCTTTCGCCTGTATTTCCGAGCCGTTGTAAAAGCAGGAGCAGCGCATGAACCAACACCCCGGGGCGATTTTGAATATTTTTGACGTGGAAGGGGACACAGCGGGTTTTTGCAATCGCCGCAGCGTGCCGATTGAGGGGTCTGGTGAATTTTGAAAACACATCGAACGCATGTAACATCGTAGTTCACACGCGACTTTGATCAGGCCACATCGTCTTCAGTTTTTGTGTGGCTTGTGTTTTTTTTTGGAGGGGGCAGGTGGTTTCGTTCATTCGGTCGTCATAATGCGTAATGTTGCAGGGCTGGGCGCTTTCGTTTTAGACAGGCGTGAGAGGAGGGGCACTCGAAGTAACACGCGCATATGAAGTTGTATTCGCAGCTTGGTTCCGCAGAGAGGCGTTCAAGCGTGTGGATACCGCACGGCATGCTGATCTTCTCAGGCAAGATGAGCTGCATTATTGGCGGAACAATGGATTAGCTTTTGATCCGCGTGACGGTTGGGAAGAGGCCAACATAGGACGGGCAAGGGGCACACATCAATGTTTGTTTTTAATGTTTTATTGTCTTGGATGGGTTCGTGCGTGATTCCGAGTTGCACAGGCGAGTGTGATTTTGGAAGTCGTGTGTGTGTGTGTGTGTGTTTGTGAGTGTGTTCGCTATTTTTTTTGATATACATGCTTTGGCAGATCATGTGTTGACTAGTTTCGGAGGTTTCTGTTGGCCTAGGGCCTTTTTCTTCTCTTGCACACCTACGCTCCACAGCTCGGGCCTGCGTATTACTTTCGTTCACTGTTCGTCTCTGGCCTCCCTGGCCTGCCCCACGGCCGCGGACCTCTTTATTTTTGCTCGTTTGTGATTGGTTTGTTCATGGATCGTCCCTGGCCTCCCTGGCCTCCCCCCCCCTGGGACGCGGCCCCCTCGTGCAAGAGCCAAGGCACTCGTACCACTTGTCAATCAGGTTTTGTGGCCTACCCACTCCACTGGCCTCAATAGTGCCACCCGGCCGTCCAGGGAGGTCCCACCAGCCCGCGGCAGGCATCGGAGTGCCATGGTATGTTTTAGGCTTCCTGCCATCCCCATTCCATTTTTGCTGCTGTTGTGCCTCCTGGGCCCTGCGACCCATTGAAGACCCTCATGTGGGGAAATCTAGTCGTATTGTGTAACCCACGCCGTGTGTGTGTGTGTGTGTGTGTCTGTTCGACGTTGCCTCTTGGAATCCAGGCTGCTGAGAGTTTGAATTTCTTTCTTTCATTTTGCACTGTCTGTTGAATTTCTTTAACGGCCAGGCCCCGCGTTTTTTTGTTCCTCCACGAATCGTTTGTCCAGAGGCTTCGCATTTGTCGGGCCCCATTGTTTTATTTTTAGGGTCAATCGTATTCTAGTTTCCTAGTACTCCAGATGCGGCTGTTTGTCTACATATTGCTGCGCAGGCCGCAATGCTTAGTTCGAGCTCTTCTCAATCAGGCCCTGGTCTTTGACGGCCCGTTTGTTTATTGCATTTCTTGTGTTGCCTGATTTCCAGGCTTCGCAGATTGTTCCGATTCGTTTCTCCCAGTCCCAGCTGTCAACTAACGTTATTTTGCTAAAGGTCGCACTGTTTATTGTTTGTCTTTTTTCAGGACCAACTTTTCGTAACAATCAAGGCCGTTCTGTTTGCTCGATTATTTGTTTGTTTAGCAGAGCAGTTCTATTCTTCTCCCAAGCTCCAGCGACCTTTCGAATTCATGGACGACCACGCTTGTCTCCCGTGCCACGCTGTCCCTCCAAACTCATATCTTCCAGCATCCTTAGTCTAACCTAATTCTTGACGTTTCGCGTATCATCTACCAAGTAATCCCAGAATAATCACCAGGTGTGTTGCTCTGATCAGGGTAGTGTAGCGGCACGCAGTCAAGCTCTGGGAACATCTTGGAGCCATCTTGGGGCCACTGTGGAAGCCCGTGTCGCGTTCTTGGAGCGCCCTTGGGGATCTCCTGGGCCCCTCTTGAGACCCTCATGGGGTCACGTCAAAGGGGGGGGGGTCCTAAGTAGGCCCCCCCGTCGGAGCTCTCAAAATAGCCTCTTGGGGCCCTCTCAGGCTGCTCTTGGGGCGGTCTTTGGCGCTGATGGGGCCATCTTGGGCCCTTCTTGGGCCGCTCTTGTGGCTCTCTTGGGCCATCTTGGAGCCATCTAGAGGCCTGCCTGAAGAGCCCATCGGAAGCGATCTAGCGAGAAAGCACATCATTGATTTTCCTCCAAATGTTTTGGACGGATTTTTGGCCTCTTGGGGGCCTCCGTGGGATGTTCGGAGGGGACTTAGAGCTTCCTTGGAGCGGTCTTGGATCTCTTGGAGGCATGTTGGAAGATATCTTGACATCATGCTGAGATATCTTAACCGATCTTGGAGGCCATCTTGGGCTCCCCGCAGACATCTTCCAGACCCAGGGTGAGGGGGTATGGGGGAGGGGGAAGCCCCTCTTCGAAGGGGAAGAAGGGGGTTAGCATAACGAGCTCGTTAGACCACTCACGCCTAGAGGTCTGGTGGGATGCCTGTCTTCCAGAGCCCACTGTCTTCCCTCTCGCCCTCCTGCTTCCGCCACCCCTCTCCGTCTTCCTCACCCATCACCTTGTCCAGCGCGACCCCGACCTCCAAAAGAGGCGCTGCACGTCGCATTTCGCCCGCGCCTTCCTGGAGGCGCCGCGGCATCGAGACACAAATGGCCCGCCTCGTGCCCGCACTGTGCGCCGACTCCGTGCTCCGGGCCTCCGCCCCCGTGCCCGCCCGTGCCCGCCGCCTCGTCCTGCCCGTCTCGTGCGCCGGCCGGCGTCTCCGGGCGTCGCCTCGTGCCCGCTCCGTGCGCGGACTCGCGCTCCATGATGCACACACTCTCTTTCTCCTCCCCCTCCTCCTCCTGCTCCTCCTCCTCCTCCTCCTCCTCCCCTCCTCCTCCTCCTCCTCCTCCTCCTCCTCCTCCTCCTCCTCCTCCTCCTCCTCCTCCCCCTCCTCCCCCTCCTCCTCCCCCTCCTCCTCCTCCTCCTGCTTGCTCAACCAGTCCCTCTCCCCTCCTGGGCGACGATCAAAAGCGGGTCTTACGCGAGGTGACACAGCGACCTTACGCGGCGGCTTACGCGGGCCGCCAGCGCGGCACGCTACATTGGAGACGAGGGCGCTTACGCGCGACCTTACGCGGGCAGCTTACGCGCCAACGTCGGTGCAGACGACTCCGTTCCTTTTTTGGGGTCGCTCACATAGCGTGCGCCACATTATATATATATATATATATATAAATTCGAATAAATAAATTGAAACATCACATCTATATATATTGTATATGTATTTTTATAGTTATGCAAATATATACAAGGATAATTCTATAAAACATATAACGCCGCATCAGAGAGTACAATGCGGGCAACACGTGCACGCCCTCGCGCGCGCATGCCGACGTCATGCAATAGCAGTGGGCTTTCTCACAATGTCAAGATCGTGCGGTACAAACGATATGACACTCACAGACACGGAGTCAACACAAAAGCACCATTCCTTTGCGCGCACATGTGCGGAACTCAAAACACGGTCGCATTTTTTGGGGGGCTCCTGCCACGCGGAACCAGTTTACCAGATCATGCAGTATGATAGTTTCACATGCGCAGAAGGAGTGTGGTTCTAGTCAGTCAAACAAACACAGAGAGTCAACATGGGTCTCGGACTTTGGATTTGTAAATGGTTCGCTCGATTCCTCATTGTCGTTCATGACATTGTTGTTATTGTTTTCGTAACTTTCTTGTTCAGTGGAGTTTTTCATTGGGGCGCAGGGTCACCCAGGAAGAGGGTTTGTGAACGTCGGCGGAAAATTTGTTGGCTGTGCACGCTGGTCGAAGTCATATTTTTTTCAGTTCTACACTCAGTCAAGCAATATTATGCGGTTGTCTTCGTTTTCGAACGCAGGGCAAAGTGGTTTAGGAGTATTGTTTGGCGGTGTGCTGTAGTCTGTCAAGTGTCGCACGCTCATAATGTGGCATCGCAGTATGGTGAGTTGCTAACGCCGTCTTAAAATTTTAGCAAGTCTAGTGGACACCTTCTCCCACCAGCATTGCATGGCTGCGATGGATGATTGTCGGCAGGTTGTGAAAAGCAGTAGAATTAGACATAACATGTTGGCAGGGAGGGTTCCCGCCGAGCTACAAGTTGATTGCCGACTCAGCGGGTCACAGCAGTCTGGAAGGCGAGGCCTATGTGTACGAGAGATCCGCCCTTCCGGCGAGCAGGGGCAGGCTTGTGTGCTCCCTTTGCACCTGGCACAGGAGATGAAGGAGCATATATGTACAGGGAAGCTGGACAAGTTGGCCGGGGCCAGTCCTCCATTTTCCCCCAAGCCAGGTTCAGTTACCTTCCAGTTCTTCAGCCCTGGCCACTGCGCTCCCCTTATTTGGATCATTTTCAGCTTCTGTGATTTGTTTCCAGCCCTGGCCGCTTGATAATTTCGGACTACCTTCTTTGTTCCAGCATCCATGCAGGAAAGAGGATGACGAGCAGAAGATGGAGGACGACGAGCTGAAGATGGAGAAGGAGGAGGAGGAGGAAGATAAGGAGCATTATGGAACCTTTGATGCTCATGACGGGGCCACGGTGCACAAGCGACGCCAGACCACCCCGAGCTGAACGCCGAAGCCGTCCGGCCTGGAATGGCCTCGCGCCGATGCAGGTTTCATCACCACCTCCGCCCGACGGGAGACCGCACGCCACGCTCCTCCATTGCTTGAGATTCCACGTTGCGGAAAACGTGCAACATCGGAAAGAAACGCGAAGCAGAGCCGCCCGCCGCGAACAAAATTGCGACGCCAGGATCTCAGGGCTGGTCTTCGGTAGCAAATCGTGGGAGCCTGGTACGCGTCCTTAGCGTCGATCAGCGCCGACTAGCGTCTGGGAGTCGATGGGACGGCGCCGCTTGAGCGTCGGTCAGCGTCGAGTAGCGTCGATTCAGCGTCGGGTTAGCGTCGGTTCAGCGTCGGCTAGCGTCGATTCGCAAGAGCCGGCGACAGGGTGTGGGAGCTGCCAGGACGCTGGCATCTACGTCTTCCTCCTCCTCCTCCTCCTTCCTCCTCCTCCTCCTCCTCCCCCTCCTCCTCCTCCTCCTCCTCCTCCTCCTCCTCCTCCTCCTGACATGGGGGCTGGGCATGGCGTTGCTCAGCCCCGCAGGAAGCCACGAGGCAGCGCAACCCATGCGGCACTTGCGGCGCGTTCCTTTGCCGCCACACCGGACCATCTCGTGCACCGTATCCTGGGCCGCCGAGCGAGCTGGAATCCTCGACGGCCTCCGAACCCCCGCAGGGCGTATCCCTTTGTTTCTGTGTCCACTTCGCGCTGGTAAAAAAAAGTGTCCACTTCCGAAACTCGTTCGAGCGCACTGTGCGCTCGGGGACGCACACGGATACCGACAACGTCGACCTCGTCTGTATGAGGTGCTTCGCCGATAAATCTAGCATGCCAACCTGCATCAGCAGCAATGCCCGCCCACACGTCGGCGACTCGGATGCAAGGGGCGACGAGCTGCGAGCGGTCCGAGACCAGCAGGTGGGCGCGCTCGTCAGCATGCGAAACCACTCGCTCCACCTGGATCTTGCCCTCACCCCGAGCTGTACAGACAGCTCGAGCGCGCTGCCAGAGATCATCTCTGGCCTGCTTCCTTCGCGGCACAGCGAGGCGCCCTCTCCAAACGCGCCACAACGGCTCGTGGTGGGAGTGACCCTGAACCAATGCCCTAATGGCTGCCTGGTCTGTCAGGATATACAGTCCACCAAGCATCATCTAATGCGAGCCGACGCTAAAGCACGTTGCCAACTTGGTAGGGCCCACATGTCTTGGGATATACAGGTGCCCCATGAATTTCAGTGTGGCTTGTGTGACGTAGCGGCTTTTGGCTGTGTCAATGAGATTCACGCACGCCTTCGACGTGAACACCTTCCTCTGCCGCTCCCGCGGCAAGTTGTTCCTCGCCCCGCCCATCCGCGGCGGGGAACTCATGCCGGCAGTGCTGACGGTGGGAGGCTGAGCCGCCCAGCCAGCACGCGTCCGCCAGGTGCGCCAGCGCCAGGGGAAGGACCACAGTAATTGTGCCGACGGGTTCAAGCAAGTCATGGCGTGGAAGTCTGGCCAGAAGCAGGTGTTCGACATGATGATGCTCCAGACCTTCCGCAACTCCCAGCACATGCGCGAGGTCATTGCGGTTTTCTTCGACGTGTACCTCGCTCCAGAGGACGGTCCAATTTTCCTGTCCATGGAGGATCAAACCTCCACGTACGGCGAGGTGGGCACGGATAAGAAGGAGCACGCGTACGGCCCTCACCAGATCTGGTCGTTTGGCGTCGCGATGAAGTGGCTGAAGGATCAGAACCCCGATGCTACCGCACAGGGGGTCTCGAGCAGCAAGGACCTCCACGACAGGCTTCAGCGCGTGTACGATGAGTACAGCGATTAGAATGTGAAGAACAAGTGCGAGCTGGTCCTGTGCTGCAAGGCTGAAGTGACATTCGCATTCAGGGACCCTCAGTTCCGCCAGATGATGCTCGAGGCGCTCGATGGGGCTCCAGGGCATGACGATGAAGCAAGGATGGACTCCTCCAACGCTCATGGAGCGCGAGCTTCGGCAGATGATGGAGCATATTGATGCTTGAGTGACTATCTGGAAGAGGCTTCGAAACCACGGACGCTTTTTCTCGCTCGGCGTCATGTTGGACTACCGTCCGATAGGCCAAGTGGTCTTTTGGATGGCACAGTCAGCAGAGCAGAGGATGCTGGACAGCAGTTGGGTTCTGGGATTTTCTTATTATTATCATTATTTTTATAATAGGTCGATCCTGGTAATATTCAGTGGCTGCCGTTGCTCGAAGCTGGTACTGATAAAGCGGTGTTCAGAGCCCGTCAAGTCGCTTACCCTGCTGATGGCGCTCGGCCAGGCTCCGTCTCTCGCCCGTCCAGTCTCCGACTCGTCACGGTTTTCCTGGCATCACGTCGTATCGTTCTTGGTATTCCACGGTTTCAGGCACTTATGGGCATTGATCGGATTCATGAGTTGGCACAGCGGTGGCATGACCGGCAGTAGCAGCGGAGCGCAGTGAGCTAGTAGTACATTCTTTCCAACATTGCACTTCTCGATTGTTGGCTCATGCATCCTTGTGAGTTCCCTGCGCAGCTATGCTGTTTTGTCCTCCTCTGTTCCTCGTCTCCTCCTCCGTGCTGTACGGGGACGTGCTCTGGAACCGCCGTGGCTCCGTAGAGTACCGTCGTGTCGCCTGGAGGCCCAGCCCGTAGGTAAGTTCCTGGCTTGATCAGGCTCATGGTGCAGATTGCACGATTTGATTTTGATGATTTTGCTTGCACCTGCGTTGCGTTGTGCGTTCCGCTCTTCCCAAAGACATCGGTTGGAGCTTCTGGTGATTGCCTGTCTGTCTGTTCTCCTCCTCCTCCTGCTGCTCCTCCTCTTCCTTCTCCTCCTCCTCCTCCTCCTCCTCCTCCTCCCCCTTGTCCTCCTCCTCCTCCTCCTCCTCCTCCTCCTCCTCCTCCTCCTCCTCCTCCTCCTCCTCCCCCCGCCCGCCTCCTCGAATCCACGGTCCTTGCTGTGGGTGCGCGGGGGCCGATGGGGTGGGTCGCGCGGCCTCGGTGGGCCCCGCCCGGGGCATGCTGCGCCCGCCCACTGGACCCTCGGACTATGCGGAGGAGGAGGAGGGGGTGGCTCATGTGCCAGTTGACGGTGATGACGATGACGGTGTTGAGACGATGACGATGACGATGACGGTGATGATCGTGATGGCGACGATGCTGGTGTTAATAATCATGAGGGTGGCGATGATGGCGATGATGGAAATGCGGATGACGATGATGATGACGATGACGACGATCTATGGTAATGATGATAGGGACGGCGATGATCACTAGGGTGGCGATGATTTGCTGCGGATGATGATGGTGATGCTGATGACGGTGCTGATGACGATGACGCCAGTGATGATGACGATGTTGGTGCTGATGATGACGACGATGTTGGTGATGCTGATGATGTGGGTGGTGATCATGGTGGCGACGATTATGATGATGACGATCATGACGATGCTGATGATGATGGCGATGACGACGAGGACGACGATCAGTATGTTGATGATGCTGTTGATGATGATGAGAATAATGGCGATGCTGACGATGAGGATGATGATGTTGCTGCTGCTGATGATGTTGATGATGAGGATGACTGGGATGGCGATGGTGCTGATGATGCTGATGACGATGATGACGATGACGATGGTGATGATGATGATGCTGATGGTGATGGAGATGGAGATGGTTAAGATGACGATGACGACGATGATGATTCGGAGGATAATGGTGACGTCTACGATGATGAAACTCAGCATGACTATGCGGATGTAGATGATGATGGCGATGCTGGCGACGATGATGATGATGATGATGATGATGATGCTGATGATGATGATGATGATGATTATGATGATGATGATGATGCTGATGAGGCTGAGTGTGATGATGGTAATGGTGCAGACGATGATGATTTGGATGATGACGATGTTGGTGGTAGTGATGATGATAATGATGAGGCTGAAGAGGAGGGGTGGTGGTGATGATGATGCTGATGATTGTGATGCTGCTGATGATGATGATGATGATGATGATGATGATGATGTCGATGCTGCTGATGATTGTGATGATGATGACGATGATGATGATGATGATGATGATGATGATGATGATGATGACGATGACGCTGACGATGATGGTGATGCTGATGATGATGATGCTGATGATGATGATTATGATGATGATGATGATGGTAATGATGATGATGCTGATTATGATGATGATGCTGATGATGATGATGGTGATGATGATGATGATGATGATGATGATGATGGTGGTGGTGGTGGTGGTGATGGTGATGGTGATGGTGAGCAGGAGGAGGAGGAAGAGGAGGTGGATGAGGAGGAAGAAGAAGGGGTGGAGGAGGAGGAAGAGGAGGAGGAGGAGGAGGAGGAATGGAACGTGCCCGGGAAGACACAGCGCAGGAATCAAGGGCCAGAACGAACGAACGCTAAGGTTTTGAGGCGCGCGGCGCTTGGGGCGCTTGTGGTGCTTGGGGCCCCTGTGGCGCTTGGGGGCCGCAGACATGGCAATGCCCTCGTCCTGCCTCGTGTGCGGATAAGGGGGACGGGGAAGAGAGGGCGAAAGATGAGAGGGCGCGGCAGGAAACAGACGAGGATGATGACGGGGGAGGTGGAACCATGGTGGGCATCCAACAACACCAAACGAACACATGACACACATTGGCACCCTCCACGATCCGTCTGAGACCACAAAGCGTATGTTTTTCGAGACGAAGCTCCAATCACGACTGCGCAGTAACCACGTCCAGCGGCCCACCACTTTCATGTTTTGGGTTTTTCTCATTCCCCAGCAGTAAACATAAACATTCGTCATGAAATATGCCGCCTCCCACTAGGCATGCCGTCTCATGCCCACTTCGCGGCGATACAACACTACCCGCATATCTATCGCGCAGTGCCCACTTGACCCCACGATGCACATCATGCCTTCGCATTTTCAAGTGGGTGGGCCCGACACATAGCGTGGAATCAATGATGCCGTCCTCCGCGTCGTCCCCATCCACGAGAAGAACAATGCGCGCACGTGTGGCCCCTCTGTGCGGATGAGGAGGCAGGAGGAAAAGGCGGAGGAGGAGGAGGAGGAAGATGTAAAGGAGGAAAAGGAGGATGATGCTGAGGAGGAGGAGGAGAAACAGGAACAGGAGGAGGAGAATGGATGGATGGAGTCCCCCCGTCGTGGCGGCATGCGAAGCCCTCGGGCGTGGGCTTCTTTCAGTAGTGCGGAGGAGGATGAAGAGGAAGAGGAGGAAGAGGAGGAGGAGGAGGATGAGGAGGAGGAGGGAGAGGAGATCGAGGAGGAGGAGGGGGACCAGCGTAGACCCAACACTCATCAACTATGTTGGAATTCGCTCTCTCTCTCCAAGCTCCTTCTTCAGAGGCCCCTACTAGGGTTTATTTCCACTGAGGGAAGTGCCCCGTAAGGAGACAACTCAGTTTGAAGATCCTGAAGCGTGCCAAAACACCATTCCCAGGACTCCAGCGCCACGAGTTTACCTGATTGATACGGCGTGGCGATCGTGAATCGTGCCAGAACACAATCGTTGGACCTTCAATACCGAATCTGGGTACTCGTTGCGCCCTGACAATCCTGATTCGTTCCAAGAACACCATGGCTGGTACGTTGACCATAGGAACCCATGAAGCCCTTGCAAATATTTAAGACGAGTGTGCGCGGCGTGAAGGGGAGAACCACATGTTGAAAAGGAACTGCAATCAATCCGCCAAGCTTTTGCATGTGTCGCAACGAATGTACGCGGCCTTGAGGGCTGTGAGCCGAATTCGTCTCGGCTTTAAACGTCTTTGTGCTTCGTGTTACTACCTGCTTCTTTCGATCAGTGGGTAGGTCTATGGTTGGCATTCCCTTTTGATTGGGCTGGTGGTCATTCAAAGCTGAAGACCACTTTGCCCACCAGAGCCGGGAAAACCTCGAACGATCTACGCCGTCGGATAGGGGTGGCCGCCCGTGATATTCCGACACAGAAAGATCCGCAATGTCGGGGAACCCGCGATCGCTCAGATTTTCGAAAGATCCTCGCGGTATCAGAAACCAGCGTCGACGTCGTCACGATACGAGCCCGCCCCATGTGGGCAATTCCAGCGGGGGCTTCGCCGACGGCGGACCGAACAGTTGCGATCTCTCCCTCGTCGGAGGGCGGTGGGCACCGGCGGAAATAAGTAATGCCACCCCGAAGAAGCGGCATTAGCTTTGGATTTGGGGTTTTCTGGTCCGGGCCGCGTGCCCAGACATCCGCGATTGTGTGTTCTGCACTGCACTGCGCGGCACAAGCATTCCCGACCTCTTCCCCGGTGGCAGTGTTTCGTCCTGGATCTGGTTTGGAGGATCCTGGGGCCTTCGAGGCCGAAATCGAGGAGCATCGTTAGGATTGAGTGCGCCATATCGTCGGACATCTGGGCCTGTGGTTGGTTCAGGAGGGAAAAAAACACAGACACAATTAATCGTCGATCCCCCAGGAAATATGGGAAAATATGGGCAGTGGGGGGAAGACAACAACCCAGAAAATATGGGGAAATATGGGGAGTCTTTTTTATTTGTGTGCATTTATTTGTGTGTCCCTGGGGCCCCTTCATTGGTGCCCCCCCGCCTCTTTCGTCAGGCGGTCGCGACGACGGGGCCTCGGGTCGCGGCCGGGCCGCCGTGCGGGGGGGGGGGGGAGCGGCGGGGCGAGGGGAGGCGTGGTGCGACCGGGTGCTGTGGCGCGCCAGGGGCCACTGCGTGGAGGCCAGGGAGTACTCGAGCAGGCCGTGCGGGCACGATCCTCCGGACGTGTGTCAGTTCATCAGTTCAGCGCGACGGTGTGTGTGTGTGTGTGTGCGTGTGTGTGTGTGTGTGTGTGTGTGTGTGTTTGCGTGTGTGTGTGTGTTTGCTTGTGTGCGTGTGTGCGTGTGTGCGTGTTTGCGTGTGTGCGTGTGTGCGTGTGTGTGTGTGTGTGTGTGTGTGTGTGTGTGTGTGTGTGTGTGTGTGATGTTCGACCGGAAGAGGTGCGCTCTCGACCCGCCGACCAAAAAGTGTGTGTCTCATGTGGCTGGCGGCGGGGCTGCCTCCTCGCGGAAACGAGACGGCCCGCCTCTCGCCTACATGTGTGGTGGGGGCGGCAGCCTCGGCGCTAGGCCTGGCTTTGCCGCTCTTTTTGCCGCCGGGCCCGTGGCAGTTTTGGTCTCTGTGCTGAGCACTCCGTGGCCCACGACCTCTGCGAATGCGGCACCTCGCTTGGCCGCTCGGCCTCCTCGTGTCTTCGCGCCCGCCTCAGTGCTCCCCCCCGGCTCGCACCTCACGCGTCCACGGGCGTTTGCCGTTGTTCGTTCTCCGCCTCCCATGCCGCCGTGTGCGGGCAGCCCCGCGGTGGTTCTTGTGTATCCTCCTCGTCGTCCGCGCCTATATGATTTATGGTGGCTCCATGTTTTACGCAGCCATGGTGGGTTTTTCCTAAGGTTTTGTGTGCACCCTCCCCGCCATCCAGGCCCAGATGGCTGATGCCAGCAGGATTGCATCTTAAGCGATGCTCCCGGCCGCCGCGCGCACTGCTACGCTTTTTCCGCGTCGTCGCTGCGCGCGAGGCCGTCTTCTTGGTACTCGGCCGTATTTTGCCTTGCCTCCACCACCCATTTTTTGTCCCAGCTACTGGCTTCTTGCGCTCCACTCGGCTGCACGAGGTAATTTCCTCGTGTCACCTTTATCTGCCTGTACTCAAGACCTGGCGTCGGCCTTCTCGCTTCGGCGCCTGCGCCCCAGCAGGGGTGTGGGTCGGCTTGGCTGCGGCCCGCCTCTCAAGTGTTGCGTGCACCTGTGGTCTTCGGGTGGAGCCTTCATGCTGCTTGGCCGTGGTTTTGGCTCTATTGCTCTCCACTTGGTTGCACGAGGCAATTTCCTCGTGTCCCCTGGTGTGGTAGCGCCTTTTTTCCGTCATAGAGCCTTTTTCCGTCTGTCCTTTGGACCTGGCGTCGGGCTTACGGCCTCGCTGCTTACGCCTCGACACGGGTTGTGGGCCAGCTTGGCCGCGGCCCGCTTCTCGTTTTTGCGTGCTCCCCAGTTCTCGCCCTGGGGTTGCTCGCTTCAGCCTCGTGCTGCGCCATGCTGCCTCTCTTTTGGCCAACTGCTATACTTCCTTGCCGCCTTAGGCGTGAAGACTTTTTTTGGTCGCCTGGCTGAATTGTACCTCTGGGGTATCTCGTGGTGCTCGAGGCGCTGGTTTTCTTGCGCTCCTCTCAGGTGCGCGTGGCAATTTCCATGCACCTTTCGTGGTCGGCGCCTTTTTCCGTCTGTCTGCTGGACCGGCGGCGGTCATACCGCATTGCTGCTTGCGCCCCGACATGGGGTTCGGGCCGGCATGGCCGCTGTCTTTCGTTTTTTTGCATCCTGGTGTCGCACCTGGGTGTGCGCGTCCGCAGCTGGGGCTGCACTTTGCTGCCCCTGCTGGGCTTTCGGCTGTATGTCAGCGTGCTCTGCCGGCAGCTTTCCTCCGCGGTGGTTCGTCGGTCCCCTCCCCTGTGGGTCGCGTGGGTCGCTCGGTCCTCGCCGCCGTCGGTCGGTCGCTGGTCGGCCGTGTCGTGGGGTCTTCCGCCATCGTCTCTCCGGGCTCCTCCCTTGCTTTGCTCTTGCTGAATTTTCCCTCTCCCTTCTCCTCCTTCCGGGTCGTCCCCACCGCGGGGGTCTGTTCTTTGTTGTTTGAGCGTTGGCGTGTCCAGCCGGCGGGTTTGCTTTGCTCGTTTTCTCTTTTACTCCATCGCCAGTTTGTCGGAGTGGTGCGACCTTTGCGGTGATGCGTACAGTCGTTTTTGGGCCTAGATGGTGTGCCCGCTCGGCTTTTCTTTCGCCTGCCTCACAGGTAGCTGTTCGCGACTCTGGTTGCGGTGGGGGTCTGCTGTTTTAACGCTGGCGTCTGCGTTGCACGCTCGGCCATGCTCGCGCCCTGTCCATCACTCATGTGCGCCGCTGAATTTCGCGGCTGCTGATTGCGGTCGCCCGCGGTCGGCTCTGTTTCTGTTTGGCCATGGCCAAGCCAGCCTCGGCCGCGTGATCATCTTTCCTTGTTGCACGGTCGCTCAATCCGTCACTTGCTCGCTGCAAGGTCGGTGGCGTCGGTTTGTCGCACAGCTTCCCTGCGTGTATGCACCGCCGCCAGGTTGACTGGTCTGGCAGCCTTATAGTTGTTGTTTTTGTTGTTTTGTTTTGTTTTGTTGTTGTTGTTGTTGCTGCTGGTTCTTGAGGCTGCAATTCGCATTAGACTGTTGTTTGCGCTTCAGACCGCTCGGGCTGAGCATGTTCCTCAGGTTTTTTGGGCGCTGCACTTTGGCATTGCAGCGCCTCTCGTCTTTCACCACCAATCTGCATGGCCGTGACTGGGCTTTTTCATCATGGCGCGTTCGAATACGTTCGTTCCCAATCTGCACCTCTGCCTGCCAACCGCGCCTGAGGTCCCTCTGCACCGTCGACTTACACGTGTGTGTGTGTGTGTGTGTGTGTGTGTGTGTGTGTGTGTGTGTGTGCGTATCGGTGTATGTGTGGGTGGGCCTGCCCTACTCCTCACCCTCGCCAGTCTCTCTGGTGGCACTCTGCCTCGCCACGTCTGCTCATGCACTGTCGCACTGGCCTGTCGGCGTACCCCTTCTTCTCCCCGCCCCCGCGCTGCCCAGGCCGGGGTCCGCTCGCGGCATGGGTGATCCTCTCGTGCGGACCTTTGCCCCATCTTCTTGATGGGGCCAGCCGCGCGCGTCTGTTGCTTTGCTCGCTTTCCCGAGTTCCCACGCCTCGGCGGTGCGCGCGTGCCTGTGGCGGTGGCGCCGATACACGAATACACACACGCATATGTACTTATTTATTTATTTATTTACTTATTTATTTATTAATTTGTTTATCTATTTTTCACATAGTTTTGTATTTATTTTTTTCATGTGTGTAGGCATATCTTTGTGTATTCTCGATCTATGTATTAATTTATGTCTGTGTTTATTATTTTTCTGTTTTTTTTTATCATGGCATGTATATTTGTACATCTATATAACACGTGTATGTGGATCCTTGTTGACAGAGGGTCTTGGGTCAGGGGGCCGCGCGTGCTACAGCATGCCCGCGACCGATTGTGCTCAAGCTGAAATTGGCTCGCGCCGAGAGACAGCAACCACCCGACCTGCATGGCCTTGTCCTTCGGCGGGCGGCACTTAGACTGGGTCATCGGGACCATCTCGCAGACCGTCGTCGGCTGGTCTACGAGGTGCCCACCCTGCCCAGCTTGCCCGCAGCCGCCGGCCTGCCTCGCGTGCCCGGCTGCTGGGCCTGTCCATGTGCACCCTTCCGCGGCCTGCGTGGCGCCCCAAGAGGCGCTTTCGCCCGCGCCCGGCCTGGCTGAGCCCGCCAGGGTCGAGGGCGCGTCGTGGGCCGCGGACTGGGCTACCCTGGTCGTGCTGGTGCTGAATCCCTTCTTCCTCGCGGGCCAAGTGGTGCGCGTCGGGGCGGGGGTGCTCGCTCGAGCGATCCCTCGACGTTCGGCCATGCTCCCTCCCGTCCCGGAGGCCCTGCCTCCTGTATGTATGTCTTGCGTGCCAGCCGCGGAGGCTCGCCTGGCGCCGCCGGTCAAGGCGGTTGAGAAGTTCTCCTCCTCGTCCTTCTCCTGTCGTCGTCGCCCCCTCTGCCCCTCTTCCCCTTGCTGCCCCCCCCTCCCGGGGGCTCGGCCTCCCGTAGGATGTCATACTTTGCGAGCGTTTTTTTTTTTTTTTTTTTTTTTTTTTTTTTTTTTTTTTTTTTTTTTTTTTTTTTTTTGTTTTTTTTGTGTGGTTGTTTAAACAAGCGTGTGTTTCTTTTCCTATTTCTCTCTCACTTTTTTTTTTTGTTCTCTCTCGCGCGCTCTCTCACCCTCTCCGATCCTCCTCGTCCCTTCCTTCTCCTGTCGTCGTTGCCCCCTTCTCGCCGCGCCGCCCTCCCCTTCCCGGGTCCATCCCGAGGCACGGCTTCGCGAGGATGTCCCGACCCTGGCCCCCCTGGTGGCCGCCCCCTTTCTCTCCCCCCAGACTTTTTGGTTGTGCCTCTTTCCCGCCTGCCTCCTCGGCTGGCTCCTTGCCCTCTCCGTGGCTTGCCCTGCCCTCGCGGTGTGCGGTGCCTCCTCCCTTCCCCTCCGCTCCCCCTCCTCTGCCGCTCGGCCCGTGCCCCTCGCGTCCGCCTTCCTCCCCCCCCTCGGCTGTCCGCTGTCGCTCCTCGCTCCTCGCTTCTCCCTCGCTTCACTTGGCCCTCCTTTCCCTCGTCTTGCTGACCTCTTGTCGTCCTGATTCGGGCCGACTTGACCTCTGCACTGCGCTGCCTGTCCCGGCGCTCCGACGCGCCGCTCCCGGCCGCTGCCCCGTGAGGGGCCGGCCGTCTCTTGGCTTTCCTTGTTCCTCTTCGGCTTGTCTTCTCTTCTCGAGCACTGCGCGCTCGGCCGTTGGCCGCGCGCCCAACGGTGTGGCGAGTCGCCCATCTGCACCGCCCGAACTCCTCCTCGTCCTTCTCCTCCTCCTCCTCCTCCTCCTCCTCCTCCTCGTTTGTGTGCGCGCCATCCATGCCCCGATGTGCTGATGCTGGGAGGTGCGTTGAATCCTAAGCGATTCTTGACGGCCCTTCGGCGTCCGCGCGGTCAGTACTTCTACATGCTCCGCCTCGTCGCCGCGCGCGACGCTGCGCGCGAGGCCGCTACCGCCAAAAAAGAGTGTGTGGGTGGTCTTGTGTGTGTGTGTGTGTGTGTGTGTGTGTGTCTGGGTCTCCAGGCAAGTCCCCTCGTCTGGCTGCCCGCTCGGGTGCCTCCGTGGGGCCCTGCGCTGCGCGGTCGTGTGTGTGTGTGTGTGTGTGTGTGCGTGTGTGTTTGTGTTTCTGGGTCTCCAGGCAAGTCCCCTCGTCTGGCTGTCCGCTCGGGTGCCTCCTTGGGGCCCTGCGCTGCGCGGGCGTGCATGTGTGTGTGTGTGTGTGTAGCCGGGTCTCCAGGCAAGTCCCCTCGTCGGGCTGTCCCTGCGTCCCTCCGCGTGGCATGGGTCCCTCCGCGTGGCATGGTTCCCCCCCCGGGTGAGCCCTGCGTCCCCCGCCCAGGTTGCGGCGTGGTGGCCCGGCGCGCTCCCTCTGCTGGCTCTGCTCTCTCAGAGCGACACCGCCGGGTTTCGCCGCGCCCCCGGCCGCGACGCCAACTAAAAAACACAAAAAAACACACGTGTGTGTTTTTGTGATGGTCGATCTTACTTCACCGAGCGCGCTCCACTTCTCGCAAAGTGCCTACTCGCAAACGCTCGAAGAACACATGCTCGCCTCGACATAGTGGATCGTATGTCAATTCCTCGCGGCGGATCCAGGCCATTTGCGAGTAGTGACTTTGCGGGCAGTGGGACGCAGCTACGGCAACAAGCTTATCGGGCGTCATTGTATCACCATCATCCCCATCATTGGTCACACCTTCGCAAATACTTGGTATTGCTTCAACGAATATGTGGGGAACCCTCGAAGATGGCTTCGTGCGCCGACATTCACCGTGGCACGCCTCCCGATTCTGGACTCCGGAGGCACGACTCCCGATCAGCTCGCTGACACGACTCCCGATTCCCCGACTCTGGCGGCAGTTCTTTGTCTCTCCGTACCCGGCTCCGACTCTGGCTCCCTTTCTTCCGACTCCGGCTCTCCCATCTCATCCCTCCGATTCCGGCTCCGACTCCGGCTCCCATCTTTCCGACTCCGGCTCCCCCATCCCATCCCTCCGACTCCGGCTACGACTCCGGGTCCCATCTTTCCGACTCCGGCTCTCCCATCTCATCTCTCCGACTCCGGCTCCGACCCCAGGTTCCATCTTTCCGACTCCGGCTCTCCCATCTCATCCCTCCGACTCTGGCTCCGACTCCAGCTGCAATTCCGGGTCCCAACTTTCCGACTCCAGGTCCTGTCCCATCTCTCCGACTCCGGCCCGGATTCTTATTTCCATCTTTCCGACGGTGGTCCCGACTCTGGTCGCAGGTATTCGACTGGCAGTACGTGTGGCTCTTCTTCTCCGACTGCGGCTCCGGCACCCACGCCCATTTCTCCGACCCGGCTGCCATTTCCCGACCCCGGCGTCTGGGCGGCCAGCCCATTCCGGCGCCCCGGCGCCCTCCCGCCGCACCCTCGTAGGTGCCTCGACGCGGGCTCTTGTCTTGTCTTGTCTTGTCTTGTCTTGTCTTGTCTTGTCTTGTCTTGTCTTGTCTTGTCTTGTCTTGTCTTGTCTTGTCTTGTCTTGTCTTGTCTTGTCTTGTCTTGTCTTGTCTTGTCTTGTCTATTGTTTGGATCCCTGCCCCATCATCTGCGGGGCTGGCCGCGCTCGCTTACTAGTTGCCTCGGGAATTTCTCCGATTCGTCGGAGCGCGCGATGCCGCGATCGCCGAAAGTGGCTGTGTGTGTTGTGTGTGTGTTGTGTGTGTGTGTGTGTTGTGTGTGTGTGTGTTGCGTTGTGTGTGTGTGTGTGTGCGTGTGCGCGTGTGTGTGTGTGTGTGTGTGTGTGTGTGTGTGTGTGTGTGTGTGTGTGTGTGTGTGCGTGTGTGTTTGTGTGTGTGTGTGTGTGTGTGTGTGTGTGTGTGTGTGTGCGTGTGTGTGCGTGTGTGTGTGTGCGTGTGTGTGCACGCGCGTGTGCGCGTGTGTGTGTGTTCTCCTATCAGCCCCGCGGATAGCAGGCAGCCCGTGTCGGTCTCATCATGCTGCCTGCGTCGCACTGAAGGGCTTCGGTGGGCAATCGCACCTTGGCGTTGGCGCGCGTTCTGAGGCTCAGCGAGCGGGATGGGTTGCGTGAGATCGGTTGTAGAGGTCGCCGCGGCGATCGCGGCGGCCACGAATTGGGGCAAGTCTTTTTCAAGGAGCTGCACGCCCCGTCCCAGCCGCCCCCCCGCTCCGCGATGTCGACGTGGCTCACGATTATCCATCTAGCGGCAGTAGGGTTTGTCCGCTTATGTTCAGCATGGGCAATGCTGTTTTTGGGTTAGGGGGAGGCCCGAAAGGCAAATCGGAATCCAGTGACCGAGAGAAACCTCGGGAGTTAAAATCGTCGAGTGGGTTCGTCTTGGATGCCTCTTCGGCTCACCTGGCCGTCCGGTGGCGTCCCTACATACTGGGGCAAGCGGGCCAGCACGCTGATGACCCCCGTTGTTCTTGTTGTTCGAGCAGAGAGTCGGGGCAGGACTAGAGCGATAAGAGGCATAGTCAGAAGGCGAAACAAAGAACGCGCATCATTCCAACAGCACGCTTCACAGCCCTGCGCCCCCAGACGGGGCGGGCGGATCAGGCGTGTTTCATCATTGTCGTCTGGCCTGGCGGACTCTGAAAGCGGTTCAGAGATCGCGCGTCTGTGCGCTGTGTATTCAGACTGTTGTCACCGACGCGTGTGCGATGGGACAACGGGTTCGCGCTGGCAAGCGTGCTGCTGTCTATGTGCACGCGCGTGGGCGTTTGGTTGCTTGATCGTCATTCCATGCGCATGGATCCAGCGTGCTCGCGAACCTAGATTTGCTTTGGTGCTGCCGTGCATTCAGATTGCATGTCAATGGGACGTTCACATCTCCCTTCCTGCGGTGCCAATTCGGTCACTGACCTGCGGCTCCTGCAGGCCACTTCGATCGTATTGTTCGGACCACGCTCCTGTCTGGGCGAGCTTCGATATTTCACCAGGTGGGACTGGTATCAGCGGCTGGGAGGGTTTGGTACACCATGTTCTGCGCTTTCTTCTGAAACTCCAGATACGAAGGTTCGTTGTCTCTGCTGATAGCGAGGGCAGTTGCTGATCGGCTTAGTTTCGCTACGATACGAATTTGCTGCAGTTCAGTGCAAACTAGTAGTACAGTAATTTTTGGAAGCGCCTACAGTGATAACAGGATCAGCGTGATCAGTGTGCGCCTACTGTTGCTCTCGGCATCGGTTTTGAGCTGTCATCGCCATTATCACCTTTACCATCGGAGTCGGGTCTACCATGGGCGTGTACAATAACGATGAAGTGTCGTCAAGAGTTCACGAGTTGGCCGGCTTTCGGAAGCCTCAAAACGGTGCGGTGACCGGGTGAGTCAGCGGGGATTCGGAGTGACCGCACGGTTTTTGGCTTTGGGCCGTTTTGCGAGGATGTCTCGGGCGACTGGGGCCTCCGAGGTCACAGACCACGCGTTGACGGGCCGAACTATGAGGTCTTTTGGGATTTCAAGGTCACTACACGGTTTGTCACCGCGCCGTCTTGAGACCCCCAAGGCTATTCCAATGCCATAGAGAGATAGATCGTCCGTCTCACGGCGCTCTGGGAGGGAAGCCGATCTCGAAGCTCTCGGCGGCCGCCAACGCTGGTCCCTACGACGCCGAGGTGATGGATGCCGAGGGCCTGTGGCGCGCGGGAAGGACTTCACGGAGGGAGGTATGTTTGTTTCTGTGTGCATGTGTAGTTGTACGTTTGTAATATGTATATACGGGTCGTATACATAGCGCCATTCGAGAGTGTGTACCTACAAAAGGTGCATGCATACAAATCTGTATATACGGGTCGTATACATAGCGCCATTCGGGAGTGTATTTGTGCAAACATGTGCATACATACACATATGTATTTAAACATAAACATATACACATACATACATACATGCATGCATGCATGCATGCATGCATGTATGTATGTATGCATGGGAAGGGCGAACGACTTTCAAGGCTACCTTTGCCCATCCTTAGCGACTGTCGCTGGCCAAACTCGTTCGAACACCGTTAAGCCGGCCCTCCAAGGCCCTTGCATCCTTACCGCGCATCCTTCTAATACGTGTTGGCTGTACACACGTACGCACATGCATATATACGTACAGACATACACACATACACACATGCATGCCCATACACACGCACACAAACAAACAACCATATGCACATACAAACTTACACACACACACATACATACATGCATGCACACATACACACATACACACATACATACATACACACATACCTACATACACATACACATACATACATACGTACGTACATACATATATACACACATACACATACATACATACACACATACATACATACCTACATACCTACACACACATACACGCATACACACATACATACTTACATACATACATACATACATACCTACATACATACTTACACACATACCTACACACATACATTCACACATACATGCATACATACATACATGCATACGTACATACATACATACACACACATACATGCACACATACACATACATACATACATACATACATACATACATGCATGCATGCATGCATGCATACATACATACATACATACATACATACACACATCCATACATTATACATATACATAGACATACGTGTATGTATACATTTATATATATATATACATATATATATATAGATATGTTCAGAGGTGTCACTTGCGTGCCCAGGCTCATGCCAACAAGAGCTGCAGGATGTGTTGCGAGAGCAGTGGGGGGATAGTCGTTCCCCTGGGCACCCTTGCAGGACAGGCTGGAAGGACGCCGTCGGGTGCTCAGACTGCAGGCCAGTAGCGCGGGCGCAGGCGCGCACGGGTGTGGCTTGGACGCTTTGCGATGAGTTTGGCGCAAGGCGGGGTTCCAGAAGCGGGCGGTCCCCGATGGGGTTGCCACAGCTTGCTATTGTACGACTTGTCCTCCTCCTCCTCCTCCTCCTTGTCCTCCTCCTCCTCCTCTTCCTCCTCCTCCTTCTCATCGGGAAGCACCCCTGGGGGCATGGAAGTACGATGGTAGGACCAAAGTTGGGTACTTGCATATCATATCATTGAATAACTCATGCTTGTTTCTGATAGTGATGTGCGGCACTAAGGGTCACCATTGTGATTCTGAGTGCTTGATGGTGACAACTTATTGTACGTTTGGACTGTTACGTCGTGATCTGCGTGAGGGGTGCGTTCGGCCCTTTGCTTGTTAAGGACGTCCCAGGTGAAAATTCGGGCAGTTCGCACTCACCGCTCACGAATGTGCATCTGACAATGCGTAATGTACATGTATGTGTACACGCATCCGTATGTCTGTATGTATGTATGTATGCATGTATAGATATATACATATATCTATACATATATATATATATATATATATACGCATACATGTATACATATATGTGCATGTGGACATCCCCGTGCCCTTGAACACACTGCATCCTTCTTAAATCTGCTCTCTCTCTCAGCTTCTTTATGTATCTTTCTATCACTCTATTTCTTTTATTCTCTAGGCAGGGCATCTTACAGAGACATCGTTACTAAGGAACCCTTGATAATGAGTCCCTGGTACGGGGAATTCTCAATGAGGAATCTTGAGTGGACGAGCCGTTGTAAGGAATCCATCGCAGGGGTCTTTGAAAGGGAATGTGTTGGAACAGGTCCTTAGGGGAGAGTTCTCTGTATCAAGAGCCCTTGTGCAAGAACCCTTCGTATTCATCTCTTCATACGGAGTCCTGAGGGGGGAGCCATCGTAGGGAGTGGGTCGTGCAGAACAACCAATCATAGCTAATGGCTAACCAGTTCTTAGTTCGGAACCGGTAGGACGAAATATGCATCAATGAGATTTTATTGAGAAGTCCTTTGTATGTTAACCGTATTAAGGAATATTAAGCAGCTAATCGTCATTCCTTTTGTTTAAAAGAATCATCACAGCAAGGAGCCCTTAGCAGTAAGGAATGCTAAGTCAACTACCCTGGCGACGTACCCAACCCCTGCGCAAATGCGGGGCGCAAATCGTTTAGGACACTTTATAAGAGGGCGGTGACGGAGCGAGGGCTGCATATGTCTGCAGACGGAATTCGGGAGACTCGCAGGACACTGGCTACAGGACAAGGACTGGATAAAGCTGATTAGTTACAATCCCTGAGCAACCCTAGCCACTTCGAAAGCGGGGATCTCAGATCGCAGCCCCCCAGGGACGGCGAGGTCTAAGTTGGGTCCGCGCGTGGCGTCGCTGTGCTGGGCTACCCAGCAGGCCCCGAAAGTGCCGACAGTTTCACAGATCGAATCCCCCCCGGGATGGGGAGGTCCCATTTGGGTCCGCGCGTGGCGTCACTGTTCTGGGCCCCCGAGCAGGCCTCGAACGTGGCGACAGTTTCACAGATCGCAGCCCCCCAGGGATGGCGAGGTCTAATTTGGGTCCGCGCGTGGCGTCACTATGTTGGGCCCCCAGCAGGCCTCGAAAGTGGCGACAGTTTCACATATCGCAGCCCCCCAGGGATGGCGAGGTCTAATTTGGGCCCGCGCGTGGCGTCACTGTGCTGGGACCCCCAGCAGGCCTTCGAACATTGCGACGGTTTCGCAGATCGCAGCCCCCCAAGGACCGCGAGGCCCCGCTCAGATCTGCGCGGTGCCTCACTCCGCAGGACCCACCAGCAGCCCTCGAAAATGGCGACAATTTCGCAGATCGCAGCCCCCCAGGCACGGCGAGGTCCCGCTCAGATCTGCGCGGTGCCTCACCCCGCAGGGCCCACCAGCAGCCCTTGAACATTGCGACAGTTTCGCAAATCGCAGCCCCCCAGGGACGGCGAGGTCCCGCTCAGATCTGCGCGGTGCCTCACGCCGCAGGACCCACCAACAACCCTCGAACGTGGCGACAGTTTCACAGATCGCAGCCCCCCAGGGACGGCGAGGTCCCGCTCAGATCTGCGCGGTGCTTTACCCTGCTGGAACCCACCCAGCAGCCCTCGAAAGTGGCGACGGTTTCGCAAATCGCAGCCCCCCCCCAGGGACGGCGAGGTCTCGCTCAGATCTGCGCGGTGCCTCGCTCCCAGGGCCCACCAGCAGCCCTCGAAAGTGGCGACAATTTCGCAGATCGCAGCCCCCCCCAGGACGGCGAGGTCGCGCAGGGCCCACCCGCAGCCCTCGAAAATGGCGGCAGTTTCACAGATCGCAGCCCCCCAGGCACGGCGAGGTCCCGCTCAGATCTGCGCGGTGCCTCACTCCGCAAGACCCCCCAGCAGGCCACGAAAATGGCGGCAGTTTCGCAGATCGCAGCCCCCCAAGGATGGCGAGGTCTAATTTGAATCCGCGCGTCGCCCTCTCTGTGCTGGGCCCCCCCCCAGCAGGCCTCGAAAATGGCGACAGTTTCACAGATCGCAGCCCCCCCCAGGGATGGCGAGGTCTAATTTGAATCTGCGCGTCGCCCTCACTGTGCTGGCCCCCCAACAGGCCTCGAACATGGCGACAGTTTCACAGATCGCACCCCCCCAGGGATGGCGAGGTCTAAATTGAATCTGCGCGTCGCCCTCTCTTTGCTGGGCCCCCCCCAGCAGGCCTCGAAAATGGCGGCAGTTTCACATATCGCCCCCCCCCCCAAGGGATGGCGAGGTCTACTTTGAATCTGCGCGTCGCCCTCACTTTGCTGGGCCCCCCAGCAGGCCTCGAACATGGCGACAGTTTCACATATCGCAGCCCCCGAGGGATGGCGAGGTCTAATTTGAATCTGCGCGTCGCCCTCACTGTGCTGGGCCCCCCAGCAGGCCTCGAAAATGGCGACAGTTTCACAGATCGCAGCCCCCCAGGGATGGCGAGGTCTAATTTGAATGCGCGTCGCCCTCACTGTGCTGGGCCCCCCCAGCAGGCCTTGAAAAAGGCGACAGTTTCACATATCGCAGTCCCCCCAGGAATGGCGAGGCCTAATTTGAATCTGCGCGTCGCCCTCACGGTGCTGGCCCCCCCCAGCAGGCCTCTAAAATGGCGGCAGTTTCACAGATCGCAACCCCCCCAGAGATGGCGAGGTCTAATTTGAATCTGCGCGTCGCCCTCTCTTTGCTGGGCCCCCCAGCAGGCCTCGAAAATGGCGACAGTTTCACAGATCGCAGCCCCCCGCAGGCAAGACGGAGGAGGCAGGGAGGGAGGGAGGAGGAAGGAAGGAAGGAAGGAGTGGAGACTACACTGCTCTATTCAAAACGAATACCCAACCAAGGAGGGTTGGGAGAAAGGGATCTTCAGTATGAGCTGCTCCATGTTGAACCCTAATGCAGGAACCCCTGGTCGGGACTTCTCGATGACGATGCCTTCGTAAGGGATCAGTAAGCATGGCCCAGTAAGGGGTCCCCAGGAAGGAATCAAACATAGGAATCAGTAGCGAGGAATCTGGAGGAGCCAGACAAGGAATCCTTAGTAGGGGCCATTGGTCAAGCATACTGTGCAAGACGTTCCTGGCAGAGGATTCGTAATAAGGGAGTATTTTATTTGGAGCCCCTCATAATATTTTCATCATGCGGGTTCCTAAGCGGGGGAGCCTTCATAAGGACTCCGTAGTAAGGAAGTCATATCTCGAAATCAGGAATAAGCACTTAATAAGGATTCAGAGGCAATGGGGTCAATATCAATCAGTTCTTAGTGAAGATCCTTTAGTTTGACAGTCCCCGAAAGGTGCCTTAGTACGGAAACCAGACGGAAACCAGAGTGGGAGGTCCTTACTAAGGACCTTTCCCAGGATCCGATGTCAGAACATGGTTTGCGAGATCCTTGAGGAATTCTTCTTGTCAAACCCTTCGTATATTTTGCCGGATATCCCTTCTTGGGGGATCCTTCGTACCGGGTCTGTAGTAAGGAACCACCAGTAATTATCTATGTTTAAACGCTTCCCAGTAAGGAGTCAAAAGGAATAACTCCGTATCAGTGAGTTCTTGGTACGGGTTCTTTCATGTGCCAGCTTTCGTAGGGGATCATTTGCAAGGGATCCTTTAACAAGGAGCCCTTTGTAATGAATCCATAGTCATCAACCAGTGAAAAGGAATCCATAATAAAGGAGTCCTTAGAAGGGAACTCTGGGTACATAATCCTTTGGAGAGAGTCGTTAGTACGGATTCTTAGTAAGCGGGGTCCATAGTAAGGAGTTCTAATGAAGGGGTTCTTCGTACGGGTCCCTGATTCGGGAGGCCCTGATTCAGTGATATTTGGGGGTGAATCCTGAGCTGAGAATTTCTAATACGGAATCCTTAGTCGGCAGTCCGTTGTAGGGAACTTGTTGCACGAATCTTTAGTACAGGGGCCCAGAGCAAGGAACCGTCAGTCTGGAGTCCTTTATCGGGAACCCTTAGTCGGGAGTCCTTAGTTAGTATAATGGTGCAGAGCTGCGCAAGATGAAGGTCGAAGCACCATCGGTTTTCGAACGGGTATGCGAAAGCTAATGAAAATCCTTTGCGTAGTAAGGACTTGATATTAAACCGTTGATAACCAATTTCGTTTTTCTGGACCCTGACGTCCTGATCTGCGTAACGGGTGTGCCTGATTGTCAGAATTCTGAGGATGTCCCAAGCGAAGCCGCCAGAAACAAGCGCGGACGAAATCACATTTCATCGCTTCTGAGATTTACCCTCTCGGAGCGGTGCATCTGATTCTCAGTAGTGCGTCTGTAATCATGTATGTACATGTTCATACACATTTATACGATGTATCTATGTGCGTATATGTATGTCCATATACATAAATATGAGCGCACATAAACACATACATGCACAGGGATCGACACACACACACACACCTATATATATATATACATCTATAACATATATATATATATAGACATGCCACTCGATACATATGGGGAAAGAGAAAGACATACCAACAGAGAAGTAACCATTACATACACATATATATATATATATTTATATATATGTATATATATAGAGAGAGAGAGAGAGAGAGAGAACAGTGAGAGAGAGAGAGAGAGGGAGAGAGAGAGAGAGAGAGAGAAAGTGAAGAGAGATATACCATAGTAAAGAAAGAGAGAGAGAGAGAGAAACAGAGAGAGAGAGAGAGAGAGAGAGAGAGAGAGAAAGAGAGAGAGAGAGAGAGAGAGAAAAAAAAACGGCAGGGTGCCAAGGCCGCGCAGGGAAATGCAGAGTTCGAGGGATGCGTGTGCCCACCCTCCTGCCCGTGCGTGCTTCCAGGCACCGATGCCTGAAACGGTGAGAGAGGGAAAGAGGGAGAGTGCTTCGGGGGGTGGGGCAGGCCTGTGCGTTATCCTGCCGCTGCAAAGCCGACCCCCCGACGAGGGTCCCCGGGCGGGCGGCGAGGGCACGCCGTGAAGCCGCAGACGGCGCAAGACCTCGAAGCCCCTCCTCCCGCTCGCTCGTCCTCGCTGTCGACCGTCGGGCCCACGCGGGCCCAGCGCTTTCGCCCGGCAGCGAGGGGCTTGAGACCCTTCCTTCGTGGACAGCCGCGCCGAGCCGATCCGATCGTCCGAGGGCGCGCGCGCGGGGCTGGAGTGATCTTTCCAGGTATCGAATTGGGGTCGGGTCGGCTTACAGTCGGGGCCCTGAAGAAGGAACCCTTTTCGTTGGAGAGGGGCTCGGCGTTCCTTGATGGTTCTGCAGTTTGCCTTCAGTTTTCCTGAGGTTTCCCATGGGAAATCGACTTTCAACGTATGGGAAAAAGGGGCCTCGTTCCTAATTTAGGGTTCCTTAGGTCAACGCCCCGACGGTACATCTTTGCCCCTCGCTGCCCACGGCGCTCCTCTTCCCCCGCCCCGATCCTCCGACCCGATCCGACCCGATCCTCCTCGCAGCTGTACTCCTCGGCGGCGCGTCGAGGGCGGCAGCGAAAGGGGGCATGCCTGCGCAGAAGTCGGCGGGGCTTCTCGGCATTCCCCCCCGACGGAGAAGCCCTCTGTGGCGCCGGGGAGTGCACAGAGCACTCTTCCGAGGGCCAGAGGCCCGCCCCTTCTGCCCTTCCCACTGGGCGCGGCGCCGGTATCCCAGGTCCCCGACGGCATGTTTTTTTCACGACGCGACCCCCAGAGGTCTGGACCCATTCCCCGGGACCGGCTTTTCACCCCGAGTCGTTTTTGACGGTCCCGAGGCCCGGTGAGGGCCCCCGGAGGCCGAGAGTAACGAAAAACTTCCCGTCGTGTTTTCTTCACGACGCGAGGGAGTCTGGGCTGCACCAGCACCGATCCGGGCCGGCTCCATCCTGGGCCCGTGCCCAGTGCGCGCGCGTCCCTGCCGAAGCCAGCAGGGCGTACGAAGACCGCCCCCACGCGGCGTGGGGGCGGTCACGCCCTCTGTCGGCGTACGAAGACCGCTCCCACGCGGCGTACGAAGACCGATCCTGGGCGTGGGCCACGCCCAGGATCGGCCTGGCCGGGATCGGTGTGCGTCTATAGTTGGCGCCGCTGCCCCCCCGGCCCTGCGGGCCGCCTCGCGCCACTTGCCGCCCTCCGCCCGTGGTGCCCTGCTGTGCTCCAGGGGCGCCCTGCCGCTGCTCGACCGCCGTCGGATTCTCTTGCGGCCGCCGGCTGGAAAAAAATTGGCGTTCGGCAGCAAATCGTGCGAGCTTGGTGTGCCCTCTCAATTCCGTCCTCAGCGTCGAGTAGCGTCGATTAGCGTCTGGGAGTCTATGAGATTGCGTCGACTAGCATCGATTTAGCGTCGACTGGCGTCGACTGGGCGTCGACTAGTGACGATTCGCAAGAACCGACGATCTGGTATGGGAGGCTCCCATGAGTTGCCACCGAAGTGGGCGCCATTTTATCCCCCTCTCCAGCACTTGCTGCTTGCGGATTTGGCGCTGGCGCGACGGGGGCCTCCCGCAGCAGGGCGGGTGGCCCTGGTCCTCCCCTTCGCCCCTGGCCGCTCCTCCTTCTCCTCCCGCTCCTGCGCCGTGCCGCGCCTGCGCCAGAGGCAGCCAATCTGCACAGGGATGCCTGGGCCGCCGATAGTTCTGTGCCGATGTCCTCCTCCTGGTCCTCTTCCTGGTCCTCCTCCTGGTTCTCCTCCTCCTCTTCCTCCTGGTCCTCCTCCTCCTCCTCCTCTTCCCCCTCCTCCTCCTTCTCCTCCTGCGAGCCACGGTCCTTGCCGTCCACATCTACCAGAAAGCAGAACACAGTGTGCCGATCTCGGCGCACCTCTCATGCGAAGAAGCTGGGCGAGTGACTGGCGCTGCACGTTTGGCGCCTCGCGCCTAGCGTGGCCGTCAGGAGCCCGCTTTTCGGCTACGTTGACTCCTCCTCCCCCTCCTCCTCCTCCTCCTCCTCCTCCTCCTCCTGCTCCTCGTTCTCCTCCTCCTCCTCCTCCTCCTCCTCTTGCGGCATCGTTCGTCGCACCTCCCGTGGCGTCGTCGCCTTCCCGCAGCCTCGCCAGGATCGTGGACCGGCGCGGGGCCGCGGGCGGAACCTACGAGCTCCTCATCGCCCGAGGGCCCCCCGCCGCCCCGCCGCACTTCCAGCTGTGGCGCAACGTCCTGGACAGAGGCCAGCGGCGGCGGCGTCGGGCAATACGACGAAGACGACGACGATGACGACTGCCGCGATTCGTCGTCGTTGCCTCGCCGCTGTCGTCTGTCGTCGTCGTCGTCGTCACCCTCCTCCTCTTCTCCTCCTCCCCCTCCTTCTTCTCCTCCTCCTCCTCCTTCTCCCCCCAGCTGCAGGGCCTTGATAACTTCAAGGCAGGCGGTCTTCTGGTCAGGGCCCCAGGTGGCTCGTTCCAGTTCCCCGGGCCCACGACGAGCAACCCACGGCGAGGAATTCAGGAATTGTAGGCTTGTGAGCAGCGGAGCCCCAAATCTTGAAATAACCGGGACATCGGATGCCTGGGTTCTCGTCCTCGTTGTCCTCGTCGTCACCGTGCCGTCGGCGTTGTAGTCTTCCCCCTCCTCCCTCCTCCTTCGTCGCCGCCGCCGCCGTTGTCGTCGTCGTTGTCCTCCTCCTGCTCCTCTTCTTCTTCTTCTTCTTCTCCTTCTTCTTCTTCCTCCTCCTCCTCCCTCTTCTCCTCCTCCGTCACCTCCCGCCCCTTCTCCTCCTCCTCGTCCTCTTCTTCCATCCCTTCCGTCGCCTTTTGGTTCAAGGCCGCTTCGGCCCGAGGTGATCTCCGTGCGATCTGGGCCTCCATCTCCCCCGCCCCTGCGGCCCGCTCCGTTCCCGCTCCTCGGGCCCTCGCCCTCGCCGCGGGCCACGGCCGCCCCTCGTTCGCGCGGCTGCCGCCGCCGTCGGTGGCGCCCATGCGCCGATGCCCGTGGCTCACGGGCCTGCTGCTCCTCCTCCTGCTCCTCCTGCTCCTCCTCTTCCTCGTCCTCCTCGTCCTCCTCCTCCTCCTCCCCCGCGGGGCGGCGGGTGGAGGGTGATTAGGCTGCCCGCGGCGCCCCCGGGTATGGTTTTCAGCCGACGGATAGCAAAGCGGCTCCCACCCAGCAGAGTCAGAGCCTCGCATTCATCGTGCAGGAGAGGGTGTCGCGTCTTCATCGGCCGAATTCGGGGCGTTTCGTGCCCAGGTTCAGGGCGTGCGCGCACACTTAGGGAAAATGCAGGTTCAATTAGCCGACCAACGACCGTTCCGCAGATATTAGGCGTCTCGAGGACCAGGCTGTCCATGACCGAACAGTCGTGAACGACGGGGCGTTGCGTGGTTTGTTTGAAGAGATCCAGGAAGAGGTGGATTCGCTTCGTGACCAGGTCTCGGCTTCAACCCGAGCGGGCTCGGACTTTTTCATGAGACAGCTAGTCGGCGCAGCGAGATGCTTCGGAGTTTCTGTCCTGATCAGGCCAGTGCCACTCGTCTTGTCGTGCTCGGCTTCCGTTGTCCCGATCGTTTCAACGTGCAGTCCCAGAGGAGAAGAGCATCGTGCGAGCGTGTACCTCGGCCTGGGCAATTGCCCAGGACTTCCCTAACACCCTCGCCTGCTCAGGTATCTTCGGGAAGAGTCAGGAGGTAATGTTCAATAACCCGGTGGATGGTGTCCCATGGGAGCTCCGTGCTCGCGGTGAGTTGCCGCCTTAGATTCGTAAGCTGCTCTACTTCATCGGTCAGGCTCGGTCAATCTTCGCTAGATTCGTAGGTCCGTTCCAGATCGACAGCAGTGGATTTGGTGGCCAGACATACTGCCTGCTTGTCCCTCAGCACCCCGTTGTCCTCGCGAAGGCTTCGGTTGCCGAAGTGGCTTCTCATGAGTTGCCCTTGACGAAGCAGGCCTGAGTGCATTCGGCAAAGGTCAGCACGTCGGCTGCACTCATGATTTATTCAATCAAATTCGGCCCGTGTGTGAGGTCCCCAGCTAGGCCCTTGGGCCCGTGAGCATGACTCTTGGGATTTTTGTCCGCCGTCTTGGATTCCTGGCCTTCTCTCGTGAGGGGTGCGGCCCATGGGGGCGGGTCCCAGCTCGGTCTTGCTGATTCTCTGGTTGTGGCCCTGTCAGGTTCCAGTTGCCGTCTTAATTCACCTGGAGGCTTCTTGCCTCCTGATCCCGCGTCGGGGGCGAACTGGGTGTTGTCTTCCTGTGCCCCCTGTCTGTTCGCACTTGGAATCCGCTCGCTCGCTTTTCCTCGTACCCTTCTGCTTCCCAGGGTTCGGTGCAAGCAACTCTTCCACCTTCAGATCAAGTCATATGCTGTATGTTTGCAAGATGCACGTGGTACGGAGGCTGAGGGTGCGCCCCCCCCGCCCGTGTCGATCGCTGTCGTAATTCGGTGATGCATCATTCGATGATCGACCCAGCATCGGGTGGTGGGATTGCCGCTGTGCGTTCGGGCCGATTGTTGTCGCAGTGTCAAGAGCGTGCGTCGCAGGCTATCTTTCATGGCAGGGTCACAGTTTCTTGGTTGAAGAGTATATGTTGGAATCTCTGCGTTGCCAATGTACGTATGCTTGCAGCCTCTGAACCAACCTGTATGTACCGCAGGCACCTAGCTGCTATCGCGGAATAGTTCTATCGTCCTGCTCATTCGCTGTGTCGCATCGCTGGCGATGAAATGTGTGTGGAGGCAGAGGAAGAGGCGTTCAGAGCATATGGGCTCTGGCTAGCAGGTGCTAGGGGTCAAGCGGATGGCCTTCTGGCCAAGTCCTCCTCCAGCATGACCCCACGGGGTGTGATGTGCGCGAGCAGGTGGTCGGATCGGGGGCGCGTCCTACAGGATCTGCACTGGCGGCCTGCCTGTGCTGTAAGACCTCAGGGTCACTGTGAAGATGATTTCGCCGTCAAAGCAGCTCCGTTTCCCCCCCCTCGTGCCGTAGTCTCGTTGTGTCGCGATTGGTCTGCGCATTCTAACAGACGCGCCGAAACAAACCCCGTAATGGGTCTCCATGCGCGCCTTGAATCATGGGCCCTTTGGTTCTGCCGTTCAGGAATTTGATCCCGTGCTGGCTCTTCGGGCTAAGCTGGATCGGGTGACGGGTCCTCTGGCGGATGGTTCCCTGGTTCAAGCAGAGGCTTCGAGAATGCGCCCGCAATCGGTAAGTGGCAAGCTGCGCTTCGCCCTCGTGGCTTTCCGTGGATGGAGATGTGGGTCGTTCAGTTTGCGTATTGGCGCTCTGCGTTGGTATGCTGCTCTCTTTGTTTCCTTCGACCCCGATCGCTAGCTGCGCGCTGACCCTGGTGGGCGTGCTTCTCTGGCCCAGACTCCGAAGAATTGGTGGCGCGACCACGAGGAGCGTGACATTGGACAATCGGAGGAGGAGGAGGGCATTTCGAAGACGAAGAGGGGGAATCCATCGACTACAGGATATGTGTCGGGCGTGGTCCAGGAACAAGCGTCGTTGCGGCCCTGCTGACGTCGTCGACTACGAGGGGAGTATGTGTGATGCCAGCCTCAGTGATTCCAGTGCTGCTCTGGCCGCTCACTGGTCGCCGTGCGTTCGCAGAGCAGAGCCCAGACATAGCGCTCTGGCCTGAGATCCCGGGGCATGCTCAGCCTGTTGTTCTCGAGGCCACTACCTGGGAGCTGGGTGCTGATGAGTTTGTCGATCGCGCGCCCGTGTCAAGCGTCGCTCTGCGCCTGGGGGGGGGGGGGCCGGGGCCCCGTGCGGTTGTTGGCGGGCGAGTGGTGCCGCTGACGCTCTCCATTGCTTGTGGCGTGGGATGTGTCAGGCTTTTTGCGGGGTTGTTCGCGATGCGATGAGGCGTGGTCGCACGTGTTTCCGTCCCAAAGATTTGAGGAAGGATGAGGGTCGCGCTGGGCTGGTTCGTCTCCCCGAGAAGACCAGCCCTCTCAGTCTCGCAGGCGCTGGCGCCGAGCTGTTGCGCGGTGCGTTCTCGATCGGATTGCCGAGAGCGGCTGAGTTGACCGCTGATCCGTGTCAGCGTGGGGGTGTTCTTGGTCGGGGGGCTCCTGGACAGCGTGGTTAATGCAGAACAGTGGGGGCTTCGCCAGGTTCTGATTTTGGGGGGGGATTGGGGACCCTGTTCGCTGACATCCGTGCTTCCTTTTCATCGCCGATTAACCCTCCTGGGTCTTGGCAGTCTTGGACGCGATTGTGGCGCCCCGCCAAACGGTCGAGTTCCTCGGGGGCCTTGCAGACGCAATGCTGCCGTGATTCATTTCCCTGGGGCAAGCCCTTCTTAGAGTTGACTGTTGAGCGCGGTGTTTTTGTCAGGGGGACCCCGCTTCGACGTGGCTCTTCGCTTATGCCTTGGGCCAGGTGTTGAGATGAATGGGAGTGAAGTTTTGCGGTGGCGTTTCTCTCGTGCGTGCATATGCTGATACGTTTGCTTACCTTCCAAGCTTCCGGGAAACCCCGCTGGCCTGCAGCCGACTTTTGCGAGACTTGTGCACTTTGAGAGGGCTGTGGGGCTTTTTCTCAACATCCCGAAGTGTGAGGTGCTGGTGACGGTGGCGATTGATCCAGTTAGAGTCTCGGATCATTAGTTTTTTTTTATATTCAGGCGCTTGGTTTTGCCAATTATGTTGACATGGTTTTTGGCTGGGCCCTGAGGCGGTTTTCAAAATGGTTGCCGGCGTTATCCCCGTGTTCTGGATGGCGGCTAGGAGATGGTGTTTTTTTTGGCTTGGGCTTCCGACCGCGATCAAGCACTCTCACTCTCGCTGCTTGCGTTCCAGTGGCGGCTCTGTCCAGTTTCTCGGGAGCTTCGGAATGCGTTAATTGGACGTTGCAGGCCATCGCGGTGGGGCCCAGGCAGGTTTTCTCCAGGGAAGTGCTGCCTGGTCTCAGGGCTTTGGGTGCGTCTCCTGAATGTCTGGATTTGGGTCTCCTCTTGATGGCGATCAAATTCTGTGTTCGTATGTCCTGCCCATCTCTGGATGTGGCGCAGTGTAAGATTGAAGATCTCGCGGTCAACCTGCTAGACGACGTGTTCCAGTCTGCTCGATTGTCGCACCCCTGGTGGCGGACATCGTGGATGAGGACCAGCGTGGGTGAAGTGGGGGCGTTTGTCGTTCCCGCTCCATCCCGGATCCCACGGAGGAAAGTTCATGGGACATCTTTGAAGTTTCTGACAGCGCAACGTAACCCTCTCATCCACCTCCGCACTATTGCGAAGAGAGTGGACAAATGGTCTGGGGTGTGTAGGTTTTGTGTGGTAACCTTTCAGGCTTACTCCAAGAGTAGTTATGCGACTGGTCGAGGAAGGCAATACAGCTCGTCTGGTGACTGACTTGCTTCGTGTCTCTTGCCGTGGGTCTGCACCTCGAACCGTTTGCGCGCGACCATCCAGAGTTGCGCTTTTGATTGTCCCAGGGATGAGGCGGACGATGACTTTGGTAACTACCGTGTTTGTCTCAGACTCAAAGAGATGACGATGGTCTTCTTTCCAAGGGCTGGACTTACTACCCTTCCCTGAACTGAGTTGCTGCAGGGAGATGATTGGCTTCTGTGCCTCTGTTGTTTTGGGCCACGTTGGGGGAGGTCTGCACGTTTTCCATCGTGACGGGCGGCCGAGGGGAGCAAGAGCGGACGGCGGCGACGGCGGCCGAACCGCACGTCGACCGACGTGGCCCAGCCGATGCCCGCCCGGGGTGATCGACGCGAGGACGCGGATATCGAGCCCCGAGTGCGCGAGGCCCCAGGTCTTTGCGCCGAGCCGCGGGCGGCGGCCGTGCGAGGCACGCGGCCGCTCGGGCCGCGCAGAGGAGCCTCCGCACAGCGGCGCGCTCGATCCCTCCTCCTCCTCCTCCTCCTCCTCCTCCTCCTC